CTTTTGTAGTTAAATGCAGAAAAACTGAATATGGCGATATAAAACAGGGTTAGCGCGGACATGCACTTTGAGAATAAGGACATTTGTTTTGCGAACGAATTTTAGAATTAAATTAGCATTTCATTTACTCTTTTGCGATCAACCGAGGATAAATATAGTTTATGGGCCCGTAAATTAAACCATAAGTTTAGATTTCGTCGTCAAATCTTTCCTAAACTTGTTAGCACAATAAGAGGTTTAAGGTCCAATTTTTGCATGAATTCAATCCGCTACCCAAAAAGCAGTAGAAAAGTTCGTGCATAATATCAGAATGTTACCCGTTTGCATTCATCTGTGACATCTTAACACCCAAAGACATATAACCGTGCTTATGCTACTTGAAAAATTAGGCACAACTCTTATCTGTCAAGAAACATTAGTTGCTCAAGAAAAAACGACGGATACTTATCAAAATGAAGCGAAATTGGCAGTGAAAGAGTATATATTTTAGAGGTTAGCGGTATATAACGATAGCGAGGTAGAAAAAACACTTGGGTTTTGGTGTCAGAAAGGGGATTGTTTATTTCGGTAATCTGCGTAAAAACGTCCAGAAACCATGTATTAGAATAAGAATCCACGAGATATTCTATCAAAAAAGTGGAAGTTAGTGACATTCATATTTGTAGGTGGACGGCTACTAATCGGGTGATCTTAGCATGTCTGTGTTATCCTTTACGTGCCGTTTTATCCGAAAGCACTGACTGCATCTCGCGGAATAATATACTGAAGCGAAAGTTTATTCTAGTTTCGGATCGTCATTTTTGGTGGCGTCTGATCTTTCATTTCGCAGCCGTGCCTACAAGGCCGAATGACATTCAGCGGTTTAAACGCAGAAGGAGATACTGGATTATGTGAATTCATACTTATTTAGAAAGCTGCTAAAGCAAACGGAACAGGCTCCGGCGGATCCAGAGTGCAGGTAAATAACAAGGCGAATAAAAGATAACGTGCATTTGAGCAAGACCTTGTGAATGTGTATCTCAATCTGAGAGATAAACCATATATGCATATACATATGACTCGGTGTGCGTATAATCCTGAGTGATTAAATAGATATTTATATCAGACAGGTTCTCCTTTAGGGCGTTTTTCGTCTGATACTTCAGTATATTACCGTTCTTCTATGACATTGTTATAGACGATTTCAGGTTACACATAGTAGGGAAGCGACGGTATATGGCGCTTTAAAATGTCCTTCACAGATCTTTAAACGCAAATGGATCCTTGGAAGAAGCCCGTACATTGACCAACAGTATCGAGAGATGTTCTCGTTTGTTTGTAATCTATGGAGCACCAATTTGCACAGATAAACCTTTACATCATTTATACGATTTTAACGGTCACATCGCACGTCTGCTCCCATTAAACACGAACAGGGAACTTTTTATTACAGTCCAAAAAACAGTTTTCACATTCAGGCAGACAGCCTTGATAAAATTAAAATTCTGATTGCAAAACAGTGGTAGTCGTAGGCAGAATTCTATCTCTTCAAATATTCCTTATCGATCAAGCGCAGAAAATTTGCTTGTTCTAAAGAATGCATTAGGATGAAGTCATGCTAGTCCGTTTAGGATTTAGGGTAGGATGACGCGTACATAGAAAATACATAGGTATTTGATAACTTCTGAAAAAGGCTAAGGACGTGGCAATCATTTAAGGACAGTGCATAGAGTAAATAAAGTGCGGAGACTAAGTAAATGTGGCAAATCTTAAGCCATGTACTTCAGCAAGTCAACATACTACTGAGAACATGGACGGTTAAAAATTTGGAGAAATGTGCCGTCCTGCATCTGCGTCCAACAAACTCTCATTAGAATGAGAACCTGAAGACACATCACCTCAGTGGTATAATACTTCCCGCAGAATCTTCACAGAAGGATCTCGAGGTGTGGATAAAGAACTAAAACTGCAGTCCACTAAGGCTGCAAAAAAACGCCATGGGAGTGCTGCATGCAATAAAAAGAGCTTTTGTAAACTTTGACCAAGACTTTTTTGTGAGAGTTCACGGCAACTTTGTTCGGCACCGCTTAGATTATTGCCCACAAGCACGACAGGCCTGACCAGCAAGGGACAAAGCATGCCTCGAACAGGTTCAACGTCGTGCAACAAAGCTGGTAAACGGTCTAAAAAGTCAATCCTACACAAACTGAATTACCTTAATTTATTCCCTCTCTCTAACAGACAGCAAAGATGTGATCTTATCCTCACCTGCAAGATAATACATGGCCTTGAGCGTGGACCTACCTTTAAGGACATTTTTCAGTGGCACCTTTCATCCGATTTTCGTGGTAACTCGATGTATGTACGGGCCCCAATGTCCAGGCTGAATCTTCTTTCTGAATTTTTCACGCAGAGGGAAGTGCAGAAATGAAACGATCTCCCTCAGTCAGTCGTGGAGGCTACGTCTCTGCAACTCTTCAAGAAAAGCTTGGATGATTATTAGTGCCCCCTGTTTTCCCTCCACAGTGTGAATCTCAATTATACCCCACAACCCCGCAAAGTATTTCTCTGATACAATGCTACTCAAATGAATGAAGCACTGTTTTAATAGCAAACATTTTTATCGTCCATGCAGTTATTTCGAACGAGCTGACATGTAATCAATAGGGTTATCATATGCTTTGCCTAAATACCCTTACCAAATAAACCGAAACTAAACTGAAATGAGAGAACGCGTTAAATCAAGAGAGTTTATTCGTGGGATACATGCCTACTTTCCTAAGAATGGGAACAAGGAGAATTAAGATGCATTAAGTCCTTGGGCACCAATCGGCAAAGGTACTCGCGTCGGACCAAAATCGGGAATGATCGACTGCATGCAATGTACTTAAAGCCTATACTGCGTAACAAAGATATGTCCACTGTTTTTGTAGTCAAGGAGGTTCAGCAGATGTGCCAGCTCACGTAATATAAACTAAAATTCTGATGGGAGATTTCAATTTCAAAATATTATTTAAGTAATGCTATAATGCTAATCACCGTGCAGCGTAGACACAAGGCATTTCAGTTCCCTCAGGATGTCGGATGTTACGCTTTTAATAACTGGATAAAAAGCCTTCCCTGAAACACAATTATATACGTCGAAAATATTTCTTACAGCGTTTCTACTATCTAGTAAATGCCTGTCATTGACACCTACAGAGAGGTCTTTCCCGACGATGATAATCGATGGATGATGAAAAATACATATAAGTTAGTTGTTGCCCGACTTATATGTCGCCTGTATGCGATGCAGTTTCATTAATGTAATACTTACCGTGGTGTTTTATGGTATTAAAACTAAAAATCTGGACAACCATCACTTCTTTTCTTAAGACGTAATAAATCATAATCAGTCAAACAATGCATTACGTACAGGCAGCTGTAATTTCATTCCATCAGGCAGACCTAAGCGACAAAAAACGTTTGCAGTTAAATCGTTTTTAAGTAAATATATATTTCATGCGTAAAACAGATAGCAAAGATACTGAACTGGTATTGCCTGTTTTGTGGCCAAAATAGAGCACTACGCACAAATTGGGGACTGGAGAAGCGTAGAATGACTTGCGAATTTACAGACGCTGCTGCATTTAAAGAACTTTGTGAGCCAATTTGGCACAGTGCCAATACATATGATTTTCAGGATTTTTATTGATTTTATTTTTCTAAAATTGACGTATACTAGGCGTTGCTGAATGTACGTTTGGCATTCATGCGAACACTGGAATGGGCCGACTCGTTTGTCCAATGTCAAAAATGGTCTCTCGATTCCACCGGTCATAGAGGAGGGAAAAGAGAAAGTTTGGCAGTGTGGATGAATGCAGACATTATGATCAGTCAGATAATCATAGTGCTTTTCACGTCTGTTGGGCGATAATAACCCAAGAGAGCTAAAATATAATTAAGCATTCAAGGTCGGTATTGCTGTAAAATGCCTTTCATATAGAAGCGAACAGACGAGACCCAGTAAGCATTCTTGTAGGAGAAGACACGGTCGCCGAGACAAGAGCTTTATTAGCCTGACGTTTCGGATTTTTGCTCCAATCCATCATCAAAAATGAAAACAGATAAGGGTGGTTGATGCATATGCAGCTGCAGTATTTATAGGATGCAGTAGCCATGCCACCGCATACCTATGAATACTCACGGCTACCACCCTTCATCGGCAATCGTTGCAGGTGGCGGGATGACCGACATTCGCGTCGTTAATTGCTGCAATTTCATCAGGTGTGTTGAATGTTGGAGTGCTGATTTTTGACCATCTGACGCACTGACCCTGGTGTTAGGAAGTGTTCACCTGTGCGCTCCCCGCGTGGCCAATTACTCCGCCTAGACAAAGTCGCAGCACGGAGTAGTAAATGGGGAGATCATTGCACTTGTTAATAGACTGAAGGCCACTAATCCATGACTCAAGCAGCTCCCGGCTCCCGCGGTTGTCACCTCTTGCGAGAATTTCGGCCTCGTCAAATTTGAATGTGTGGCCGAAACCAGTCGAATGAGCCGCAACTCAAGAGCTGTCGTCATTTCTCCGCACGGCTGCAGCGTGTTCGACATTCGCGTTTGCAGTTATCTTCCGGTTTCTCCGAAGTAGTTGCTTTGCCCACAACAGCACCAGATCCGATAAATGAGATCATGATATCTCTCTCTCTCCTTTACAGATGCACCCCTTTATCTTTTTATAAACCACTTGTCATATTTCCCCAAATCATGATTTTCTGATTATAATTGAAATAATTAGTTTTTGCATATTGCCATGCCTTCGACGTCGTTTTTCATACGGCTTGACCTGCAACCATTGCTTTCACTGAATTTGCTTATCCATTTTCCTCCTGATTTAAAGGGAAAGGCGGAGGAATATAGAATATATAATGAACCTTAACCAAACCGATTAAATAATAAACAACGTGAAGTCACAACGAAACCTCTCCGATAAGGATGGTGAGAATGAATTGCAGTTCTAAATATATTTGTCATATTTTGGCCTATTTTAAGTCATCATCCTCCTCGTCAGTAGGCACCAATCCATGCTCATCTTCCTCTGATATTCGATCGTCCTCGTCTTCATCATCATCCCTGTCCATGTCATCATTATCATCGTCATCATCGTTATCGGCATCATATTCATGATCTCGACCAAAATAATGCTCGTCGGCGCCATGGTGGCCACCAACGTGAACTGCAACATCAACCTCAAAACCAGAATTAGCAAAGTGATGTTCATCAATATCGTAGCCAAAATTCTCCTTCTCTCCATCTTCTTCTTCCTCACCATCTTGTCCTCGATCATGTCCGCCGTGATAGTTAGCATCATTATCGTCCTCCTCGTCAGAACTGTCGGCGACATCATGATACTGGACAGTCTCCTGCCCAGTCTCATCAACATCATGCAACATTTCTTCTTCTTCGTCCTTTTCTTCGACGCCGTTGTTAACTTTAGAATTACCATATTCTTTTTCATTCTCCAAACGAAGGTCATCATTCTGCGGTTGATCGGCTTCCGCTTTCGAGTGGGATAGAATGTATGCATCTGCGCCATCGGCCGACAAGACCAGGAGGACAAAAATCCCAGCAAGGAGGTAGCTAGCACTCATGCCGTACGCCTTAACTTAACTAACCTGCTGAAGTTTACCTTTGTCAGTCTAATATATAGTTGTTGCACAATTCCCGTCTGACGAATAAGGAAACCGCATATAAAAACTGGCATATGTTAAGCCAAGACAATGCCTTCTTTTCACTCGCTTAACGATTTTTGCATGCTCTTTGTCCGCACCCTTTGGCAGGTGGCGTAGAGACGAGTGCGCATAATTTTGGAGGCATTAAAGATCTTAAGTGCTCCTTGAATATCCCCCTGCATACGATGACACGTGGCGTAACCATAGACAGATTTAAAGCATTCAAAACATATAATGGTATGTAAGTGCCATTATCATCTACAAATTACTCATAAGATTTACGTAGTCTCCAATCGGACGTCAATTTTGATCATCGTGTTTGCTGAACGTTCGTTATTTTTTGATCTTGCATGTCGAAATTGGCAAAATAATCTGTCTTCCGCAGGTTGCTCGAGGCCGTGCTGTTCATTAGGTTACTTACCATATTTTTCGCTTATACTATGCACACACGTTCTGAAGCGCAATACATATCCCTCATCGCGGATCTTTTTGCAAACATCGGCGGTCATGTTGCCGGATTGCAAATTATTTTCAGCACGTTGATAAGTCGGAAATTGTAATAAACAACAGACAGCCCTTGTACCTCCAAATTATCAGCGAGCGGTCTCTGAAATAGAAACGAACATAAAGATAACTGAGATGCAGACTGGTCGTGCCACGGTAATGCACATCAAAACTACCTGTCGTGCAATCAAAGACACGTGTTTTCAACTAAAACACACTTAAACTTATGAAAAGGAAACATGCTTTTTAATTTCGAGTAACGTATCGAGTAGGTCATTTTAATGAAATAATGAGTACTTAATATGCTCGAACGCTGATTAATTGAAAAGGCTAACACATGAAGTCGTCACGATCATTTCAACAATTTGATGCGTCACCACGTTTCGAACAAAGGCAAAATGAAAACGTACGTGTAAGTACATTGGCAACTGTTCATTGATGGCATCTGTTGTGTGAGCGTTTGAGCGTGCTGCATATTGATCATTGCAACTGGTCATTTCTAATAAGATACGAATCAAAAATAAATAAATTTCTTTATAAACCTGTGACGGACCGGTACAATGACGTTCTACCAGCGATATGCTAATCCAGCTATGGGGCCCTTATATTCCGTTGTACCCAGGGTTACTAAGTACGAAGGAAGCAATCTTAATCACATCTGCCCGTCCTAGTGTATGTTAGAAAGGAAAATTGGACTTAAAGTAATTTAAGTGTGGTATGACTTGGAGGGAGTTAAAAAATGAATGTCTGTTATTAAATGCAACGTTATCGGTGGGAAGACATTAAATAACTCACGAAAGCCCACCAAGTGACTACAAAAGTTGAACCGCAATAGATAATACAACTGTCAGCCTTGATATGGAGCGACCACAATGTCTGTACCCCTTCTCCCACCTGCATTTGATCTGGCCTATCACATGACGCTTTCCTCTGCTGTACTCTTTAAAAGAAAGTGGTACCTATTTTGTAGACATAAAATTGAGGCCCGATTAATATCAACGAAACATTTTTCATAATACTTACTGCCAACCGCGGACCCTACTCGCAATTCAAATAAGGTAGCCGTCTAGGTTCAGATTATAAAATGAGCAAACAGAGCAAACGCGAACAAATTTGTATGCCGTAGTTTTCACCAATATCCGTTAGGGCAGTGACAAATCTAGACATGAACTATCTCTTTGGCATTGCAATGCATATTTATGCTAGCTGTTCAGCCAACATCACACAGAGCTGCTACCTTGACAGATAACTGGCGAGCACATTCAAAATTAGCGTTTGAATCGAAAGTAGTCGATGACCCCAAGTAATTCAGAAATAATCCATATTATAATTTTTTTAAAAGCATAACACATCGGCCATGATAAATTTTTTTACAATAAATATAGCGATGCAGACGGCAAAATCGAAAATGTTGCAAACTAGATGACGGCTGTCAATGTAAGCTTGACGGAAACCATTAGACAAGGAACTAACTAAAAACAAGTTTGAGTCATCAAAGGGGATGCTAAATATATCTTTAATTCGCAACAGCAGAATGCCCGCAATCTCCGTGTGTCCGGAAATGACAAGGGTAGAATAACATGTGATAAGCATTTTTCTACGATTAAACTCTCTAAACACTCAGGATATGTATGTAAATTGAAGGGCCTTACCAACGTTGTTAAGACTCCGGAGAGCCACCGTTAGCAATAAGACACCAGGCGTTATGGTAAATCATTTAAACAAACGTCCAGTGCCTAGAAACGCCCGATTACAATTATGATCAACACTCAAACTGGGGAAAGGTATGCACTATGAAGAGTATTGCGTCGCATTTGCTTTTGCGCACACTCATTTTTATATTCGGATCTGCTATTCTTTGGAGACAACATGCCACAGATTCTTTAAAGTTTTCCGTCGAATATGGTTATGTAGCCTGAAGAAAAGTATAAATAGCCCAGAAATCCCCAATACGGACCGGTCGTAATCGGGCTTTTACCAAGGGGAGTCAGGAACGCACAAGCAATAAGGTAAAGTAGTCTTATGCAAATAAAAAGCCGTTGGAAATGCGTGGTTGTAGTTTTAATGGTAAAAAATAGTTGTGCCAACCAAAAACCATAACTCTGAATCCCTAGGCATAACCCCTAACCCTAACCCTCCACCGCAACTCCAACAGTATTATGTCCATCAGGCGGGACCACCAAATCACATTTTACCAGGCCTTGCGTTGAGATGCAAGTACGCTCCTTATTAAGATCGTCTTTTGCGAAATTGTTGTCGAGGAACACCGCCTCAAGGATGTTCACTGGGGTTTAATCGAACACACTGAATAGGATCTCTAGCTTGTTTTCTCTACTACGCAATGGCATAACCGTCACGCACGTACGAAAAATAAAGAAACGTCATATAGCGATCATAAAATTTTGCAGTAAGTTTGATCCCTATTGCTAAGTTTACAAACTACTTTAGTAAATGCAGAGGTATGACAATGTATGGATGACCATTTTTCAATACTTAAAAATCCCACAATTAAAAACCTAATTATATCCTCGTTTTGAGTATAAGGTTAAAAGAAGACGCAATTATCCGCCAAATGTGCAAGAGAATGACTATTTTTTGAATGTTCTCCATTAAAAAAATTATTGGACTCTTAGGGGCATCTAAAATCACTGACTAATTATGCAACCCTAGTAAATCGATCTTTTCGAAACGAAAACGCATTTAGAATTTCCGTTGACATTTCGTGAGCTAAGGCATTTACTTTTATGAGCTAGATCAGCGTTTTAGTGTTGCCTCTGGCTATCCTCTTCGTAATGACCGCTCCGAGTGCTAGTCGGGTGGTATAAGCCGCTTGTGTATATGGAGTATTCTTCTGGTTTGTATCAGGTGGTATGTCACTTGTGCATATGGGGTATTGCTCTAATTTGTATCACACATACCATCATTTCAAAATACCCATTGCAGTGACCGTCATTTGAACTCCGCCGGCTAATTGATGTTTTGCCAAAGTGCACTTCGATTCCCGCGGTCTGACCTTCATTCGCAAACGTACCTGCAGTAGATAAGCCCAACCTAACTCCTGAGGTTAATTCCTAAACCCAACTCCCAACCCGTACCGTTATCCTAAGGTCATGACTCCTAACCCGAAACCCTAACCTTAACCTTCACCACTTTGTCGCCCACTGACGTTACCTCTACCTGCGGCCACCTGCATCTCCTGCAAATCTGCTTAGACTGTGTGCTGCTATAAATCACGACAAAAGCACAGCAATTGATAAATTCCACATTACGTTAAGAAGGGCGTGATTACTCACAACCCCCACTCATCCACATAGACTTTTGTAAATATTGCGCACCTGCTTTTTGGTTTAGAATGTTTCCATGCATATAACTTAACCGCTTACTTCATCCACACTTTTATCTTGCTCAGTGCGTTTACCTTCTTTATTGTTTCACCTATTTACGTAAATCGTGCTAGGTCAATCTTACTGTTTTATCTTTAGCAAAGTTTCACCGCCGTTTCCATATTCTGATGGGTTGTATAATCTCTTCGTTCTCGTCGTTATTCTGGTGTTCTTAAGGGCAGTTTATTCGCTCGTTCAGTTTCAGTAGGCAACATTTTGTTTTATTTTTTATCTTTAGCGCACAATTGTTCTGCCGTCCGCATGTTTACCTTTTACGACAGAAAGGGGAATACAATGAATTTTCAAGTAAATGCGATCGCCATCTCATTTTCTCTCCCGCCTATGCCCCGTCCATTAAACCCCCGTTATCATCGTTCTTTTATTCGAAATTCCGCTAGACTTTCGTCTTTGAGTGAGGTTGCATACCAACCGTTTTCTTGTTGTGCTGCAGTAAGTATGTCAGGGTGTGGTGCTATTACAGCATGTGTAGCTTTGACTTGGCTGGTAACACACGGAAGTGCGACATTTTTGGAGAAGGCGGAAAGACAGAAAACAGCATGACATTAAAGACTATAAGTTGGCAGAGGAAAAGGGTAAATTTAGCCGCGTCCACAATATCCCAACCAAACTCGGTTTGAGCTGCTTATTTATTAAGAGACTCTACAAACTGATGACGGATATTCGAATGATCACGCTTTTGAAAGCACTTATTAAAAAACAGGATAGTAATTATAAAATAAATATAAATTTCTAAAATAAAAAAAAATAAAATTTCTAAGTTAATACTGAGCGATCGTTGAGAAATGGTAGAGTCATATTCTAAGACTAATGCAACCCAGTTAGCAACAACACACATGAGTACAGTTTGTGAGTGCAGGTAGAATCATCCATCTGCCATGCATAATCGCTTTATTGAAAGCAAAAGTCATCAAACGAGCTGACCGGAGGAAATACAAAAAGCCTGGAAATGCAGTGGCTATCCATGGAAGTAATGAAGAAATTCAGACAAAAATGATTATCGACCATAGAGCAAGGTTCGTGTTCACACAAAAGAGCACCGACGAATCAATAATGCCATAAATTTCAGCAGAAGTGTTCTGAACGATAACAAAGAAACTATGTGCATTCCTCATAGACGACGCTCT